TTGGAGCACAGCGAAGCGTTTATATATAAGTGAGCAAGTAAAAAGGCCTGACAAAAACTACCAAATGACTGATAGAAAGCATGTAAAAGCTACAGGATTTTGAGCATATAACATATGTGTGTGGCTATGAAAGCAGTATCCCAGTACTTCAAGATTATAGTCTGTGAAGTAGAATGACGAAGGAGACTATCTAAAGAGCCCACTATCAAACAGGTCTGGGGTATGGAAGATAGTATTATAATAGTTAGACATAATACAAGAGATTTTGCTAAAATTATTAAAGTTAGGACAAAACTAAGATAAAACTATGATCTAAATGAAAAGTAAAGAATAGAGAAAGCCCTATAGTAGGCCGTAGTGAAGGCAGCGCCATATTATTATCATCGCTAGGAAGTAAAACAAGCGTCTAAATAAAATAGAAATGGAATGGGAGCAAATATGTAGAAATCCTTGAATAAAACCTGCTGTCTCATGCAAATGTCAAATAGTACGAAAATGACGCGAAGCACGAAGTTATTGCTACAGTGGCTAAGGAAGAAAACAGTTAGATGCCCTTGAGCGGCCCCGACCTGAAGCTAATAGAAAATTGAGATGGTTTGAAGACCCTCGTCTAACAATACTAGCCGAGGAATTTAAAAGGAAATGAAGAATTTCCTAAGGAATGTATAGGTATTTGGCATATAGACCTGAGGAAAAAATAAGTGTTTCAAAAAATGTTGCAATACAATCAAAGAAACATGTGTGCAAGATGCAAGGACTCATTACGTCTTTCAGGTGGTCTTACAGTTACCAAAGCGTTTTTCAGCAAGGATGCAGAAGAAAGACTTTGCTATTCTGAAGATTAGGACAAAATAAGGAAGCCCCCGCCAACATTTATTACTAAGCGTCATGGAAGCTCCGCTGCTTTGTCACTAATGAAATTGAAGTAAAGACCTTCTTGAGCATATTGAAATATGTTTCCTTAAAAGTATTCTAAACGGATGGCTTATTCACTTAGTGACAACTAATGCCCTAAAATTTGGAAGTAGTAGGCAAGTAAAACAATTTGACTACAATTTGCTTCTGATTATCGGGGAGGCGTAGTCAGAAATTTTTTCAATAACAAACGGCGAAAATTACTATACATCAGAACGCCTTTGCATAAATTAACGGATTGAAGCAGGATGATAATGCTTTTTTTTACCAAACCTACGATAAATCGAATAAATCAAATATAGATGCTTCAAAGAGCCTGAGGTTGATAAAAGCTCAGTATGCTGCATAAAAGATATAAAAAATCAAAACGATTAACGATATAAATGCTCTGCTTAATCTCAAAATAATGGATATCAGATACACATATTAAGGTTTGTTTGCAAATACAAATGTGGGTAACTAGGAAAATGGTAACCATCGACTAGATAGGAGTCAAGAAAGAGTTGTAAGTGGCACTTCTGCAAAACAAAATGGTGATATCTTGTCGTTGTATACTTTCTGATTTATAAATAGTCCTTGAGCCTGAGTTATTTCTTGCGAGGAAAAGTTTGATTTCGGGAACTGTCATGGTTTACACAAATTGAGCTCGTTCACATCTCGAGCGGAAATGTGATGAAGAGATTGAAAGATCGATTCCACCAGAATAAGACTGTGGGTTTATTTTAGCCATCTGTCTTTTGGCTTAACTGGAACATTCTTGTTGACGTTGTCCCCGAGGCAATATATCCCGGTGTAAATATGCTAAGTTCTTATCTATCACATGACGGACCTCAGTAAAACTGGATATCATTCATACGAACATACTTAAGCTAATTAGCTAATAAAATTCACTGCTTAACTTTAAATGCTTTATATATAATCAAAATCTACGCATTTTGTGAGGTATAAAATGATTTTGTCCGTTTAAATCATATGACAATATAGGTATGTCTGAGTGTGCTTGTTTGCCTTTATGCGTACATATGTGTATGAAACCAATAGTGATAGTTCAAAGTAATAAAAACAGAGTTTAACAACTATTCTTGGTCACTAAGGTCTAATGACCATCACCCCAGTTTTCTATACTTTATCCGCCAACATAAAAGATACAACATCTGGATAATGGGCAAACTCTATTTATAAAAGTAGCGTCATATTTTCTTGAAAGTTGTTTTTGTTCTCTATTCTCTTACTAGCTGTCCTATCTTTTTGTCTCAATCAGGAGCCTCAAACGAATACTTCAATGTTTTTTAATTCACTAGATCACCTTCAAATAATATAAGGATGGAAAATAATGTTTGCAGTAAGAATACCCTATGAGTATGGAATAAGGTATGCACTAGTGGGCACAAATGAAGCAACAATCTAGTAAAACGATGAACATGATCATTACCACATAAATTACTTACTGCTTGGGGTATAAGGGAATAAAGACGTCTTCCTGAATAATAGTCTCCAGACGACGAATTACCGCCTGGAATAAATGCTGCACCATTCTGCTATTTGAATGAAAGGTGGGCCATAAACCAGCCCACGAAGTCAGGAGTTGATGAAGTCGTAGGCACTGCCGCCGAGATAGTGGATCCCATGTTTGAGAGACCAAATCTGTACCAGGAATATAAAGAAATATCAGATTTCTTCACTAAAACGGAAACGTAAAGATAAATTAACCAAGACTAATTTAATAGAAGGTATAAGACCAAGATGGCAGTCTCGTTTCCATGTAGAGATGTGATTTGGCCTCGTAACAGTTTTGTTATTATTAGAGGGAGCCAGATCAACGAACCTTGTCTGGAATCCTCTGTCATAGGAGGCATGACAATGTGTAGTGTCGGATTGTGAATTTGACCGAAGGTAGAATATCAAGATGGTGTGGCCCTGTGTCGTTACGGTATCCTTTCGTTTTATAGAAGTTGTTTGACCTTGTTTTCACAACTTGGTCATATTGCCAAGAAGACCTGGAGGAACGCATTTTGTCTGAAATCCATATGATGCATGATAATTTCCAGAGTCGGTACATTCCCAGAAGTTTAACCGGCATCGTCAGTGAGCCTTGACACTTGTCTCTTTGACGAATTGTAGTGTGGTGCTAAAAGTGGCAAGGCTCACTGACGATGCGGTCGAAACGTCTAGCAATGTACCAAGCCCAAGGTCCGACTCTAGAAATTATCATGCATACTATGGGCTTCGAACAAGGTGCGTTCCTCTAGCTCTTCTTGACAATACGACGAAGTTGTGAAGATAACGTCAGACAACTTATATAAAACGAAATGAGACCGAGACCATGTTAAAGACGGCAGAATCATGGCTTTCATACCTTCAGATAAAAATATAGTCGACAATAGCCGAATCAGGAGTAAATATGGTGAAGGAAGCCTCAGTAAGAAAGTGTCCGCAGAAAATAGAAGATAAAATTATATACACATGGCATATATAGTATAGTAAAGAGTAAATATAACAAAGCCATTCTGAAACATTGACGAGCTTGTTTATATATGTGAATATTTGCTAAGACCCCCAAAAAGAGAAATTACAAAAATAAATGTATCCAGAAATGTTCAATTAGAGATAATCCAAAAACAGTTAAAAAGAAGAGATAATGTGCTCATACCTGTCAATCGAGGGATCAGGACCTTTTCGAAAATATTAGGAAGAATCCTCAAATCTTCTTGAATTGTCTTCCCCACTGGAGTGTTTGCCTTTGTATTTTCCTTCACAGCGTCCTCGTTCATAATTTCTTTAATCTCGCACGTGGAATCACCTTCGCTACAGGAAGCTTCAGTGCCTATGCCATCAGCACCAACGCCGCCATTATCACCTGGCTCTTTCTTTATTGTTAATCCTAAATCTCCAGCCACTTTAGCATGCCTCTCAGATTGATCCACTTCCCTCTCTCCTTTCTGAAGCAGGCCTGGTTGCTTTTGCCTTCTTTGGCCCTGCTTGTCAATGACGGAAATTGGAAGACGAGTGAAGTCGATCAGGTCCTCGAACCATGGCATTTCCTGTATTACTGGACAGTCAGGCTAGACATGGTAAAAAGTAAATGAGGAAGGTAAACGTTTTTTAGCATAAAAACTTAATAAGGGAGGTGAGTTTAACTAATGGAGAAAGAGGAAGATGAGACCGAGTAATGTTAAAAAGAAAAATGGGAAATCGAACAAAGGATACTCCTTGTTGTCACTA